TTAAATAACAAAACTTGCTGTTTCTGTATATGTCATGTCAAGATTCAGAAGAAACGCCGTTTCTTTGGTTCAAGGCCAATACTGAATACCATCTTCTGCCCTCATTTTAAAAGGCAAAATGTTTATTATATAAACTCTGGAAAATACACAAAAGAATGAAATTCATTTGTAACTCCTCCATACATACATATTTAACAGCTGAGTTACAGAGTACAAATATTTTAAGCCTTGTGATAATGGTGAGTTAAAAAAAAATCAAAGGATAAACAAATCGATTGTTCATTCCAACCCAGACCTCCTTTAAGAGCCAATTTGACTTTTGATACTACCTTTGTAATTAGAAAGGATTTACAATCTCAAATAGCTTCTTACCTTTTCATTTTCTTCCCTAATAAAGCAAATCTTAATAAAGACCAGATAATAGTGTGTATACACACTGTGTATATCTATGGCAAATACACACACACACACACACTTTATGAACTTAATCTCACTGTTGCTTTTCCCATGTGGATCCCACTCCCATGTGTTCTTTGTGACTACGCTGTTGTCTCAGCTTCAGACCTGCCCTGTATTTTCTCAGCTTTATGATGCCAGGACTGGGACTCGGCAAACCACGTGTGATCTAGGCCAGTGCCTGCTCTAGAAAAAATAATCTTGCATGACCGATTTGGAAAGCTTGGCTTTTTGCATTTTTCTTCTGGAATTTTCCCACGTCACCACTAGTGAGAGAAAACCAGGTAACTTAATGTCTTTCTCACAAATGCTATGAAGACAAACATATCCTCAAATAGGTACCTTTTCCCTTAGTTTCCCAAGTACTGGCAGAAATGGTCTATGCTAAAAACAGCTTTTGAAATAGTTACTTAAAAATGGGTTTTAAGAATATTTTGGTAGAAGTATTAATTTGATTCAATGTCTAAAGTAGTACGTCTCTGACCTTTATTTACTGAATTTCAGAATCGTATCAGGGTTTTGTGTGTGACCAAAGAAAGAAAATAAACACTGAAGTACTGAATCTTAGAGACTGAGCTACTTATCCTCAAATCTTGTAGCTCTTAGTAAAGAGCATTTTGTGCCAGTTAACTTGATCCACTATGCACAGGGAAATTTTTGTTAAATATAATATTTAACAGAAATCACTACACACACACACACACACACACACACACACACAGTGGATTAAGAAAAATTTTCCTTGTGCAAAGTGGATATATAGTGATTTAACAGAAATGTATCCCTTTTCACAGGTGTTGGAATGATATATTTTAATGTTATGTAATTACAAAAGGTTATACATCATGTAGAAAACATAGAAAAAAAGTGCTAAGAATTTTCATATGACAAATTTTTATATGACAAACTCTCCCTTATTTGTGTAAGGGGATTCTAAGTGTTGATAAATATGTATTTTCTTTTCCTTTTTTTGAGACAGAGTCTCAATTTGTCGCCCAGGCTAGAGCGCAGTGGTGTGATCTTGGCTCAGTGCATCCTCTACCTCCTGGATTCCAGTGATTCTGTCTCAGTCTCCCGAGTAGCGGGGATTACAGACATGTGACACCATGCCTGGCTAATTTTTGTATTTTTAGTAGAGACAGAGTTTCACCATGTTGGCCAGTCTGGTCTGAACTCCTGACCTCAAGTGATCCTCCCGCCTTAGCCTCCCAAAGTGCTGGGAGTACAGGTGTGAGCCACCATGCTGGCTGATAAATATGTGTTTTCTAGTTAAAATTGGAACTAAAACTAAAAAGAGAGGTTAATATTGTGTGCTAGTAAAGAGGCAGAAAAATGGCATCTCTCCTTACTGCAATCTATTTAGAAAGGAATCTGCCAATGTCTATTAAAACAAATATTTTGACCTAGTCATGTAACTGTTGGGGAATCTATCCTGTAGCGATAAAAGTACTAGTATGTATGATATGTGTACTTTGTATGTTTAAGGTAGGATTAAGTTGACAAAAATGTGGAAACAACAGAATCAATACAGAACTGATTTAGTAAATACTTGGAATATTACATAGCTGTTGAGAAGCAGACTTGGACGGATGTCCATGAATTATTTGTTGAGAAAAGCATTGGCACACTATATTTTCATTTTACCTTAGGGATATGTTTGAATATGGTTGGATATGAAAAAGAGTATGGAAAAATACCAACCAGGTATTTTTGGTTACTTAAGGCAGGAGGAGGAGGTGGGGGAAGATTCTCAACTCTTTCTTTCTACATCTTTGGATAATTTCTCCTTATCACCATTACCTTAGAGGTCACTATTTTTAATCAAAAAATATTCTTAGAGGTCATGAAAGTCCTAATCGGAAGAAATATTCAGGCAAGAAAAAAAATAAACAGAGAGCCTCTCAGTCTCAGAGACAGGTTCTGGGAAGGTGTTTTGCTTTCCCTGTAAGCATCATCTCTGATTTAAAAGGGCTAAGTCAAATATGGCTATTTTAGTTCATGTTCCCGTTTCAAAATATTGCCCTTTGAACTTCCTAGGCTAGGTGTTAGCTGAAAGGTATGGGACTTGTTAAAGCCAGCAGGATAACTACCAGTAAGGAAAGTAAAGGCCATTCACCAGGCTGTGCCAACCATAAGAATAGCCACTGCAGCCTCAAGTGTCATGGAGAGAAGGCGTGTGCCATTAATCCTGCTGTTGCAAAGAATCCTCGAGCAAGAAAAACATGCTGTCTTTCTTTAGCCTCAGTTTCTCTTGTCTAACAAGTGAGGATCCTAATATCCTATCCAAAAAGGTGTTCTACTCTTAAATTGGATTTGAAGTGCATGTGACAGTAAATATGTCTGTATTTTTTTTTTTTTTTTTGAGACAAAGTTTCACTCTTGTTACCCAGACGAGTGCAGTGGCGTGATCTTGGCTCGCTGCAATCTCTGCCTCCCAGGTTCAAGCGATTCTTCTGCCTCAGCCTCCCAGGTAGCTGGAATTACAGGCATGCACCACCACGCCTGGCTAATTTTGTATTTTTAATAGAGACAAGTTTTCTCCATGTTGGTCAGGCTGGTCTTGAACTCCTGACCTCAGGTGATCTGCCCACGTTGGCCTCCCAAAGTGCTGGGATTACAGGCATAAGCCACCGCACCCAGCCAATGTCTGTATTCTTAAGAGTCTGGTTACAAGGACAGTAATGAGTAAACAAATACTCTTTAATTATTTAGGTCAGTGACTTCCCAAGTTTCCTTAGTTTTGACATGGCCCTAACTATGAAATACATTTTACATTGTAATCTGGAATATACAAAAGTTATATGAAATGACACCTTCATAAGCGGTAAGTGTGATACCTTAACTTAGGTCCTGTTCTATTTTTTATTTTGTGATGGAGTTTTGCTCTTGTAGCCCAGGCTCGAGTGCTAATGGTGTAATCTCGGCTCATCACAACCTCCGTGTACTCCCAGGTTCAAGTGATTCTCCTGCCTCAGCCTCCGAGTGGCTGGGATTACAGGCATGCACCAACAACCACGCCCAGCTAATTTTGTATTTTTAGTAGTTGGGGTTTCTCCATGTTGGTCAGGCTGCTCTCGAGCTCCTGACCACAGGTGATTAGCCTGCCTCGGCCTCCCAAAGTGCTGGGATTACAGGTCTGGGCCACCGCACACCTGGCTTATTTTTTTTATTTTTATTTTTTATAAGAACATGCTAACTGTGATCTCTACATTAGCTCCAGGACTTGCTGATGGGTCACAGGCTACAGTGTAAGAAACACTGCCTTGGGAGATGCATGTGGCAAATTACATTATGATGGTAGAAGAAAACGAGCACAGTATCACAGCCGGGTTTTGCTTGCTCTGGAAAGTCTGCAGAAAAAAATAGTTTCCTACTTCCTCTTCACTTTTTTCCTTCAGCACCCATCTCGTTGATTGACATGGTGGGTTTTGTTTTGTTTTTACAGACAGTATCTTGCTGTGTCACCCAGCTGGAGTGTAGTGGTGCCATCACAGCTCACTGCAGCCCCACCTCCTGGGCTCAAGCGATCCTCCTACTTCAGCCTCCCAAGCAGTTAGGGTCTACAAGTGCAAGCCACCACACCAGCCTCGACCACTTTAGTGTTTTTGAATAGCCCTGAGAACAAGCCCTGAGGGAGGCCTACTGGGATTTGCCCTGTACAGTCCTAAAAGGGAACAGATTCCCGAGGAAGATGTATTCCTCTGGTATGTGAATACTTTAGGTGGGGTCAGGTAGAGCAAGGACTGAAGAAATTATCTTTGCCAAGATTTGCCAATAAGGTCCCATGCCCAAGGACACTTGGGTGACTCGCTTCTCAATGCATAAGTATCCCTAGAAAACTGTAGAGAATTGCAACGGAGCTTTTCGTGGATATTCCTCAGAACATTATTCTTCTACCTCTCCACACCCTGAGCAAACAAGCAATCTTCAAATAAGCAGTGAGGAAGGCCTGTAGATCTTGCAGTAAGGGTGGAGGGGAACCCATCCGCGGACTGCATTTCTGCCCTTAATTGCTCTTGCTCCACCTTCCTTTTAAAAACATAATTGATTGGGGGTGAAATATTATTGCTCCTTTAAGAGAAGTTTCAGCTGTACAGGATGGTATAGATGGCTTTGCTTCTGCCATCACCTCCACATCAGGCATTTCCTGGTACCTGTTCCCAGACTTGACACAAACCAGGCAGATTCACGCAGGTGCCACTATCAGTGGCCACATCCCTCTGGCCGCACGGGGGAGCCAGAGGTTAGCAGGTGGCCTGACCTGGGCTTGAGCTCTTCAGTGGGATTTTTTCACAATGCAGCAGGGAGAAGGGAAGCCCTTTCTTTCTCTGGGGTCTTTAAGCTGTGATAATGATGTGAGTGGAGTTGCTATCTCCCACTGCAGAGGAAGCTTTCTGAAGCAGAAGAAAATGAGACCAGTATATTGAGAGCAAAGATTCAAGAGTTAAGAGTCCTGATGGCGTGTGTACCTAGATGCAGGGGCACTTGAGGTTGAACCCCACCCCCTTTTTGTTTCACGTAGGCTAGTTTCAAATGGGCTGGTGGAACTTGCAACAAAGAGGTCTGACTGCGGGAGCCACAGTCTTCCTGGAGTTCTAGAAGTTGCTCCTCTGATCACACAAAGAGCAAAAAGAGAGTCAAGAGAGACCATCATCTACCTTAGAGCTTGCTGGAGAAGCAAGGCAGTTAAAAAGGGATGTCTGGTTAAACTTTTGTGCTTAGACTAAGTTTCTTTTTTGGCAGCATGAGTTTTATGATTTTTTTTTTTTCTTCATAGGATAGTTGTGAGGCTAAGCAACTCAAAATGTATAAGGAGGACAAAAATGGGTGGCGCGGTGGCTCATGCCTGTAATCCCAGCACTCTGGGAGGTCGGGAGTTTGAGATCAACCTGACCAACATGGAGAAACCCCGACTCTACTGAAAATGCAAAATTAGCCGGGTGTGGTGGCGCTTGCCTGTAATCCCAGCTACTCAGGAGGCAGAGGCAGGAAAGTCTCTTGAAACTGAGAGGCAGAGGTTGCAGTGAGCCAAGATCACGTCATTGCACTCCAGCCTGGGTGACAAGAGCAAAACTCTGTCTCAGCAACAACAACAATAACAAAAGGACAAAAACCTAAGTGTATGGTATAATTGTGAGGTATTAGGTGATGGCAATGAGTGGTTTCTTTTCCCTTCTCCATACCATCCATGCTGAGAAGATGGTGTGCTTCAAATATGAAGATAATTATACAAGATAATGCCACTTGAAGGGAAAAATTTCCAAGAACAGTAGCTAACGTCTACTGAGTGCTAACTATGTATCAAGTGATTTTTACTTGCATTACTTTAATCCTTATGATAATTACATGCTACTTTTATACTGTAGAGAAGGGAGCTGAGGCTAACAGCAATGGTTCTCAATCCAGGGCAATTCCCCAGCTCCCCCCCATTAGGGGACATTTGGCAATGTCTGAAGATGCTTTTAATTCTCACAACAGTGGGGATGGGGGGTGCTACTGTTATATCATTAGTAGAGGCTTAAACATCTTTCAGAGCATAGGCAGCCCTCACAGCAAAGAATTGGCTGAGAAACCCTGGCTTGCAGAGAACCCAGCCAACTTGGCTAAGGAATTCACGCTCTTTCTTTTTCTTTCTTTCTTTTTTTTTTTTTTTTTTTAAGACAGGCTAGAGTGCAGTGAGGCAATCACATCTCACTCCAGCCTCGATCTCCCGGCTCAAGGGATTCTGCCACCTTAGTTTCCTGAGTAGCTGGGACCACAGGCATGCATTACTATGGCTGGCTAATTAAATTAAAATAATTATTTGTAAGAAGGAAGTCTCACTGTGTTGGTCAGGCTGGTCTCAAACTCCTGGGCTCAAGTGATACTCCTGCCTCAGCCTCCCAAAGTGCTGGGATTATAGGCATGTACTACTGCACACAGCCTCATGCTTTTTTTTTTCCATTTAGGAAGTCATTTCAAAGCTGATTTACTAAAATAATATCATGCTTTTCCACTTGGGGCCAGCATTTAGCAAAATTCAGAAAGAAGAAAATTTTTTCTTTGATATTCTTCCTCTTGTTCCTTTTTAATGCTCTGTTCTGGAGTGACCTCCTGTCCCTAACTAAGGGTTCTATAGCCTTGGTACTTAGAAGAATAGATCCCATCTCACTCCTTCCAACCTACTTCCAGTGCCCTTAAAATATACTCATCCTCTCTCCCAGCACTTAGGGAATCTGAAAAAAATAATCCATGCTCACAGGAGAACGCTATAGAGCCTTCTGGCTTTTCACCTTCTTAACCGAGCGTCCCATCTCCTCTCAGTAAAATAATAATAATATCTCCCAGCAGACAGGATCCAAATTATCAGCTAAGTGTTGAGTCTTAAATGAGGAGACTGATGCCATCACAAACAGCTTGGCAGTGTGTGTGTGTGGGGGGGGGGTTTGGTGTTTTGGGACAGAAAGACAGAAACTTACACTTTTAACCACTATGCTATACTGTCTTCACTGAGGACACACACACAGACACACACACACACTCGTACCCACATATGCACACACACATACACACCACAGGTGCACAGACATCCGAAGGTGGGTTCAGGATTATTGTTCAGCATTATTGTTCTTCCAGTTTCTCAGTTTTTAGGACAGGGACTGGTTTTTGTTCCATGGATCCAGGGGAGGTACCTGTACTTCACCTTAGCCCTAAGGCTTCACCTTGGAAGAGCCGCAGTGAACGCAGGAGACTAAGGATTTCATGTTTTACCATCTTTGTGCAGTGCAAGAGAAGCATGTCCATCTAGGACGTCTTCCTGAAGTCTGTGCCACTGACCTTGTTCCAGATAAGGACAGGGGTCGGGATTCCGATGACCTCACAGCTCAAGTATACCTGGGCACCAGTGACATTCCAGATGTCCTTGGGGGGTGTCACTATGGAAGGACCTGCAGGAGAGGACACAAAGCCAAAGTCATGTTTTAAACAGCCGTTCACATGAGTCAGCATCCTAGGAAGAAAATAATAGTGTTTATGAGGCCGTCCCCTTGGTGGATTATCTGAAGCAAATTTCCAAGACCACACTGGCTTCGACCACAATATGATTTTAAGGTCCACTTTGGGAATGCATAAATCTAAATAAACAAAAATAATTAGAAAGAAAAATATGTTATTAAAATTTTCTTCTTCCCCAGACCATGCTTAGATGAGTGCTAATTTACCAGCTGTTTTTTATTATCTGGGACTTTTCTAGTAATAATGCAATTTTAGTTCCAAAATGCCCAGTGTTTTTCTTCTTTTGTTTACCAGCATTTCTATTTTGGGTTGGAAAGGCAACAAACAACTGCTCCTTAGGTAATGAAGAAAACAAACCTAAGAGAGTATCTGAAAATGTGCTAAGCACCCAGACAAGATGGAAATCTCTGCCTCAAGAAGCTTAGGATCTAGCGCTGAAAAGGTGATGAGGCAGGGAAGAAAAGAAACGAATAGAGCGCTGTGTGCCTTAGGGGATTGGAAGGGACATCTTTGTTTTAAATTTAATTTTTTTTTTGTGACAGAATCTCATTCTGTCACCCAGTCTGGAGTGCAGTGGCTTGATCATAGCTCACTGCAGCCTCAAACTCCTGGGTTCCAGCAACCTTTCCACCTCAGCCTCCTGAGTGGCTGGGGCTATAGGCGTGTACCACCATGTTAGTTAATTTTTAATTTTTTTTTTTTAGAGATGGGGTCTTGCTATGTTGCCCAGGCTGGTTTCAAATTTCTAGCTTCAAATCACTCTCCTGTCTCAGCCTCCCAAAATGCTGGGATTTCAGGTGTGAGCCACCATGCCTGGCCACGAGGCACCTTTGAACAGAAGAGACTCGGGTGTCGAGGAAGGTGGTACAATGGTCCTTCTTCCAGTGCGGTCAGGGGAGGCAGCTGGTAAGAAGGAAGAAGAATGACTGGTCTATTGGGTGTGACCAGGGTCCCCAAGGAGAGGGCCCCTTTTCCAGTGTTCTCAGTGTCCATGTCTCTGGCAGGAGACATTGGCAAGTTGGGGGGCACCCTCAAGCCACTGCCTAAATAGAGTCAGCAGCTATAGGACCACTGAGAGAGGCCAGAGTGATGCTTCTCCATTCCCCCCGTTAGGGAACACACCCCCCACCTTCTGTACCATGGTACTCTCCGGAGAAGTTCCCTACTCAGCGTCAACACAAACCATGTGTATCCTTTTTGCTATGAAAGTGGTATGACTCTCTGGTCCTGGGTTAGCTAACTATGGCCCATGAACCAAATCTGGCCTGCCATCTGTTTTTGGATGCCCTGTGAGCTAAGAATGGTGTTTGCATTTTTTTTTTTTAACTAAAGAAATTTTTATTTTTTTGAGACAAGGTCTTACTCTTGCTCAGGCTGGAGTGCAGTGGCATGACCTTGGCTCACAGCATCCTCCGTGTCCTGGGTTCAAGCTCAAGCGATTCTCACGCCTCAACCTCCCAAGTAGCTGGGACTACAAGTACATGCCACCATGCCCAGCTAATTTTTGTATTTTCAGTAGAGACAGGGTTTTGCCATGTTGGTCTCGAACTCCTGAGCTCAAGAGATCCGCTCGCCTCGGCCTCCCAAAATGTTGGGATTGCAGGTGTGAGCCACTGTGCCTGGCCTACATTTTTAAATGGAAAAAAAAAAAAAAAATTAAAAGACGGATATTTCATGATGTGTGAAAATTTTAAGGAAATGTCCATAAAATAAAGTTCTGCTGGAACACAGCCACACTTGTTTCCTGCTATCTCCAGCTGCTAGAGTAGTTGTGGCTGAGGCTGTATGGTCTGAAATATTCACTGTCTCTGGCCTTTTATGAAGAAATTTGCTGATTCCTGCTCTAATCAACTGAGGGAGACTGATGCCTAAATGGGTAAGTCTCAGAACTTCAATCCTTTGCACATTTTCTGGAGCTGATGCAAGTAACCTCCCTGGGTGATTTCTGCTTCGGCTCTGAAACACAGCACTGTGGAAGCCAACAGATATTGAGAGAGTGGGCGCTTACCAACTGTGCCTGTCTCCTGGCAGCCTGGCTTCCCAGCATCTATAGTAGAGATGCACACACTTACTTTTTTTTTATTTTTAATTTTTATTTTTTTTGAGACAGAGACTCACTCTGTCGACTGGGCTGGAGGGCAGTGGCGCAATCTTGGGTCACTGCAACCTCTGCCTCCTAGGTTCAAGGTATTCTTCTGCCTCAGTCTCCCGAGTAGCTGGGATTACCGGTGCCCACCACTATGCCCAGCTAATGTTTTGTATTTTTAGTAGAGACAGGGTTTCACCATGTTGGCCAGGCTGGTCTCAAACTCCTAGACTCAAGTGATCTGCCCACCTCGCCTCCCAAAAGTGCTGAGATTACAGGCGTGAGCCACTGCGCCCGGCCAAACACCTACTTTTTATTTACTGGCAATTAGTATGCCATTTCTGCTAAGTCTGAATGCCAGGGCTTAGTCACCAGGGGCCTTTAGAAAGACTTGGGACCATTGCAGAGCAGGGATCATGGGAGCTGGTAGCCTGGGTTCCTCATGTGGGGCGGTGTGAGACTCCAGAACCTAACCTGGCTCTTCTTCCATGCTCAGCACGGTTTCTTGAATGAATGAGTTAACGATCCCTTCTGAATTTTAAATCTCTGTTGACTTGGGTCTCCTATCCTAGCAAAATAGTGAACTGCAGGGTCATCTTGCATCAGAGTCCTGGGAAAGGGACAACCTCCCCTTAGGACTGGAAAGTTTCTGGCATAATCAGCATTCAAGGGACATGAGTCTCCCCTTTTGCAACAGACTATTTCCAGCACAGTATTAATTTCTTGAAATAGAGAGGAAATGACCCCAGTATGCAAGATTTTCCCACTCATCTAAAGTATTAGAATCTGTTTTTTTTTAATCCCTTGGGATATTTTTATTTTTTCCCTTTGTAGGAATGTGCAAAACAATCAAAGTTTGGAAAGCTCTAAATACATTTCATGCTTCCTTCCCTCCAAACCATAGGTCTGAAAAGGAAGCATATATCCTGGCCAGGGGGCTTGGCTCCTCTGCTGCAAACGTGAAAATGTGGTGACCATAGTGGTGCAGTATTTACGTTTCTGGCTCTGTCTCAGACATTTCCTAGTCTGGATGCAGCAATACAGAACCCTGCAAAGGGTTGGGCCTCATCCTATCCCAGCCTTCCTCTAGGGCTCTGGGACCCCAAGGGCTTGGCCACCACAGAGCCGGATCTGGCTGGGCTTTGAACTGCCTTCGCCCACCTCTCTGAGGGCCCTCATGCTGCTCCGTTCTCCTTCCCACACACAGACTTGGCAGGAAGACTTCAAAGCTCAGGGGATCTCAAAGGATTGTTCTGAGAAGAACACGCCAGTGTTCAGAGATTTGGTGGGGCTCGGGAATAAAGCTGCTTCTCACATATCAAACCCACACAAGGAATGCAAGACGATTTTATTGTGAGGATCGGAGGGCCTCAGTCCTGCCAAAACCTACTTACTTTAACCTGTGTTCATCTCCCTGTTGCCAGTACAGGTAGCAGGGTCATCAGTCTTGGGCAGGGGGCAGATTCTGGAGCGCTAATGGGTGAATTCCAGCCTGATTTTCTGCCAGAGGTCTTGAAGACATGCTATGAATTTTTCCCATGGGATTTTAAACAGATGTTCTTAGTTTTAATATAGTCCAATTTATCAAGTTTTCTTTTCTATGGTGAGTGCTTTTTGTGTCCTGTTTAAGAAATTTTTTTGCCTAGCCCAAGGCTATGAAGATCACCTGTTTTCTTCTACAAGCTTTATGGTTTTACCTTTCACATTTAAGTTTTTGCTCCATCTTGAATTAATTTTTGTGTGTGCTGAGGCGGAGGTCAAGATTCATTTTTCCTCCCCTAAAAGGACATCCAATTACTTCAGCACCATTTGTTGAAAGACCATCTTTTTCTTAATGAATCATAATAATGCCTTTGTGGAAATCTACAAGATCCACTGTATATGTACAGGACTATTTCTGGACTCTCTGTTCTTCTCCATTGGTCTATGTGTCTATCTTTACATCAATAACCATGGCATAATTTAGAAATTAATTGTACTAAAATTGAAGCACTAAATAAAAGGCAGATATAATATATCTGTTTTCCTCAATCCTCTTACTATTCCAAGAAGCAAGCAGAACACTCTAGGACAA